GGTGTATTTATTTTATGAAAACTTCTGGCTTCAAAGACACTGAATTTGAAACTACAGGTTCAATTTAGTTTGCGTTTAGTTCATAAAAGAGAGGTTTCTGCAAGAAACACAGAATGCAATATGCTAATTTAGGTGGAGTGTATTTGAGTTTCTTTGGGAACTCAAGTGTGAGAACTTCGGGACTACGAAAAGATGCCAATGGTTCAAAGTATACATATAAATTATTGAATCAATAATGTGCAAAAGTGATCTCAAGTTAATAATTTTAGATTAATTATCAGATTAATGGATTGCAGGTCACTTTTAATTAATTCAATAGATCGGGACCATACATGGTCGATTGTGGAAGCAAAACTAATAAAAACATGCGAGTTACAATTATTTAAAACGCCAAAAAATAGCATTGGATTCGAAAACCATAGCCCAAAAGGGTTTGGGCTAGTGTGCTATAAGCAGGGCAAAGCCCTAGAGGCTTGGGTTAGCTACAAAAGCAGCCCAAAAGTGGCAATAGGTCATGAGCCGAGACCAACGTGGGAAGCAAGCCCAGCCGAAGCTGGCTTATGGGTCAGCTCACTGGAGGCCTAGCGAAGCTAGGGTCGTGGGACAAGCCCAACCTGCAGGGTTGGCTGTGGTAGCAACAGGCCGGGGCTTTCTCAAGCCCAGCAAGCAAAAGCTTGCGAGTTGTGGGCTCAGGATGGTCTAGGTGTTTGTTCGACACCGTTTCCTCCACACGGCTGGGCTTCAGGCCAGTGTCGTAGTGCTATGGTGGTGCGGCGGTGATGCCACAAAAATCCCAATTTTCCCTTCTTTTTAAATCCATTTTTTTAAACAAATGGTATTATTTACAATATGCTGAATCTTGTTAATATTGAGAAATTAAATGAAAACAACTTCAAAATTTGGAAGCAACCAGTTGAGATGAATTAGGCCTATTGGAATTCAATATTGCTTTCAAACTTCCTCAACCATCAACACTTAACACTGTACAAGATTGGGAAAATTTTGCAAAGTAGGAAAGAGCAAATCAAATGTCTCTTCTCATTATGCATAAAGCAATGGGGTACATATTGAACATATCCGAGGAGGCATACCTAGTTGTGGTTTGGCCAATGATTACATGACTAAGATTGAAGAAAAGTTTAAGAAGTCTAACAAGACAAAAATTAGAGCATATCTTTCGGCACTTATCAACACCAAACATGGTGGAACCAGCAGTGTTAGAGAGCATTTGCTAAAACTTGTTAACATTTCAAACAAGTTGAATGCCTTGACATGTAAACCCTAATGGACTTAAGGAATGTATTGACTGTTTTAAGGACAAGACCACCAACTCAACTAATAAAACCAAACGCCAAAACAAGCAATGGTCTCTTAGAGATCATTCAGAGGGATTGATGCAAGGCGCAGCAGGTAGAAACGAAATAAAATGACATATAGGATTGATAGGTAGGGTCCACTATCTCCTAGTGCGAGGAGAGGTCTAAGAACCCTATAAACTTTAGTTCTAGTACCAGCTTACAACGTAGACACTAGAAAGAACAAAGATGCAGACTCTTAAACAAGAGAAAGGCACATAAAAGCGAGCTTACAACTCAAATATCAATATGATAATTCAAACAACTTAAAGTGAAAAATATGAAAAGACATAAAAAATAAAGGGTCTACAATATAACTCCTAAAAAACTAAAAGATTTCATAAAATGTCATTAACCTAGGAATTCCATAAGCCACAAATTTAAAGCTAGATACATGAATTATAAGTCTAAAAATGCATGTATTATATTACAAAACTTAAATCCCAGCTGCCAGTAATTTTATGTAATAATGCATTTAGTCCTTTGCCTGCATCAGTAATGTATGTGGACCATTTTCAACAAGAATAATATGTGGAATTTCTTATTTTCTTCCCTTCATTGATTATTGTTCAAGGTATACTTGTTTTTTATTTTTGAAAAATCACAATTTTGAATTGTTTACTTGAAGTTCAAAAACATTGAAAAACTATTTAAATTTCCAACTCTCAATGAAAGCACTACTTGTTGAAGTCAAATTCATGCACAACCGTTGGTACACGAACAATCGCCGGAAAGCATACAAGTTAACACAAAAAGATTGTAAGAACCTAGGCATCGGTGAGTTACCAGCCAAAGACTTTCCAACGATCAAAGTCAGAACAATATTTTAAACTTCAAGCAGTAGGCTGAGCATATAGAATGTGATACCTTTACTTTGAACTATAGGGGCGTGTTGTAGTATTCGAAGAGATTCTTTATAGGGACAGAATACGTATTAAAGGGAGTATTTTTGCTCACCATCATTTAGTGTGATGTATGCTCACCACTCTATTTATCACCGTTAGATGAGTTTGAATGTCGAGATTTGTGTAGTAAATAGGAATAAATCTCAAAATTCAAATCATCTAATGTTGATAAATAAGATGATAAGCATACACCACACTAAATGGTGGTGAGCAAAAATACACTCTGTATTAAAGCTAAAAGAATCTTAATAGGAAATCTGGCAAAATATGTTTTTCCTATTAAGTGTGTAAGTACTTGCAAGTGACCTTTATCAGGAATTCTCAAAATTCATACACATATAAATGCATAAAAAGTACAAAAAGTCTCCACGGAGTCGATTGCATATGGGCTATAGTGTGTAGAAGATTCTTGATGTTCAAGTGACCAAAAGCTTTATTAGTTACACTGTTCTAAAAGTTTCTGTCTAGCGCCTAGGTTACCGCCCCAATTAGTCTGTAGGTGTTTGAAAATTAAGAAAGTGCACCTAAGCACCCGTCTAAACTTGCCTAGGCACACACCTAGGTCGCGACTCTCACTTAAGCAGAAAATCAATTACTTTTATTTTGCATTTTATTTTTACAATAAAACGTACGAGACTTATTGAATACTATGATGAACACTCATTATATGTTTGTTCCTCACATTTTCAATATGTTCTAGTACTGTATAATCTATATATAGTTTATTTTGCAATATACTATTATGAGTTTTTAAGTATAAATAGACACTTATTTACATAACATATAATAAATTTACTGAAATTTACTTAATCTGCCTAAACCCTTGCCTAGCCACCTTTGTGATGAAACAATAAAAAGATCGCAAGCACAAAACAAATTTTTCTAGCAATATGATATGCACATGAACTCCCTAAAAAACGGTTTTACACCCATAAAATATTTTCTCTCTAAAGCATATGTGATTTCACTGTGTACACCTTTCACGGCAACACACTAAACTACACATAATATTTCATGCGTAAATCCTAGCACCAAAAACTTCAAGTCCCATGGGCTTTATTTCCAAAGCCTTATCCTGTCACTTATTCCACTACTAAATTGCGGCTAAATCAAATCAGACCCCAATTATAGATTCCATACAGCATGGGATTGAAATGACACTTCAAAACTCTATGCGCAGAAGAGTTTTTTTTTTTTTTTTTTTTTTTTTTTTAAACAATGATATTATCCACGTAAAAGGTGATAGAAGTAGGTTAAATTTTATAATAGGTTAATAATAATGTAGTTTATATTCGTCTTTGATAAAAATTAAACTAAGACTTCTCAGTTAAAAATAAAGAAAAATATCACTAAACTATAATACTAAGTACCACTACGACCATCTCCAACCCTTGACCAAAAACCTAAAAATTTTTAGCCCAGAAAATTTAGGTTTTAACTTAGAAACAGCTTTTCTGCTCCAACCCTTCTAGCCTAAAATTTTAGCCCCAGATTATTAAAGAATGAATTTAGACTAATTTTTTTTCTTAAAGTAACTTTTTTAAAATAAAAAAATTATATTTTAATTTTATTTTATGAACATTTTAACCTAAAAATATTTAGATTCTGACAAATACTGATAAATCACTAACCGACACTGTGAAACTCGTTAAACACTATGAAAAAAATATGAAACAAATGAAAGATTTTTTTTTAATCACTTTAGCCGTTATATTTAAATTTGGACCGCTAATTTTTTTTTTTTTTTACGATTAAATTTCATCAAATTAGATCTTAACCGTTGGATTCAATGAACTTATAATATATAAAACTAAATAAAATATGCACATATGATGCGTCAGTCCCACTACATATTTGAGTTTTAGCCCATGATTGAAGAAGGCCTAATGGCACTGGCAAACCAACTAAGAATGCAGGTAGGGTCTCTTACGTCTCGCCCCAATCTTTATAAATTAAGATTGTCGCTTAGCTATTGTAGAGCAACGATCATCCGCTAAGCTTAATCGATCCTAACATCTAATAGGTCTTAATTTACCTACTATTTTTAATTTTTTACAAGTAATACTATTCATATCATATTTTTGTATCATATTTTCATACCATTTTAGACGGTATTTGATGTGGACAACCATATCATTTGAATTAATCAGATTTTTAAATTTAGTTTATTATTTGATAAACTAATAATTAAGAAAAACTAGTTAATTAAATAATGATTATGATATACGAAGAGTCTTTCTTTATTTTCTTGGATTTTGCAAATTTTTCAAATGATGTGACTGTCCACATCAAATGTCACTTAAAATAATATAAAATTATAGTACAAAAACATGATATGAATAGTATTACTTATTTTTTTACTTTTCAAGTCTTTTCTTGGAAGTTGAAAGAGAAGTTTCGATGGCAAAAATAATAAATAAATAAATTTCAATATTTCACATAAAGAAGTGAGGTTTTCTCTTTGTACTTTTACGGTCTGATCGATCGCAACAAGTGTCGCACTAGGGCCAAGTTGAGCAATAGAAAAATTGATTTAATAAATAAATATGAATGTATAGCTTGATCTGATGATGCAATCACCTTAAAATAATTCAAATTTTGCACCCAAATCAATCCATATCACCATCTGCAACTCTCAACACACAAAGAAAACGAAAAGAGCAAAGAAACAAAAGCAGTGATGTATTGGTCTCACAATATGCTGGCCAGCTCAGAAGATTCCCACACCTGACACAGCTACTAAAATAACCATTTTCAATTAATTAATGTCTTGTTACAAAAACCCACATAATAGTAATACATAGAGCACAAAACAACTAGTAGTACATGGTAGTAGTAGTAGTAGATCTTGCTTCCTCTCATGAATCTTATTGCCACACAATTACTTACTGCTGAATCACTCTTATCTGCGGCTGCTGCGGTTGCTGCAACATAGGCAGGTTGACAAGGGAACATGCCCGTGCCATCCCGCCGGCGATAGGAACCACGGGGAGATTGTCGCAGTCACATATTTCAATCATGAAGCCATCCGGGTCATGGAAGAACAACTGATCAACGTGAATGCCACCTTCTTCCACCATGGATCGCTTGTATTTCAGTTCCATCTCCTTCAGCTTCTTCTCAACGGCTCCCATGCTCTCACACTAAACGCCAAGACCCAAGAAAAAAGTTACAAACTTTAGCCACCAACTTATACAGTCTGATAAGAAAGGAAGGAGTCAATTTCAATTTGCCTTTTCTTCTCTCATTCTACCAAAGTCCTAGGCAACCTCTTTATAACTTCTTACCTTTGTAGTTTCTTTGTTATTTAATTAAATTTCTTGATAATTTTTTTTTATAATTATTAAGTTGTTGAACTGTCAATTGGACAAAGATTAACTTATTTTATTTCGACTTCAGGCATATTAGTAACGTTAAACTGCAGATTTTACTTGTTAGGTATAACTAGCTTAGCTTTCTTGTCTTTGTCTACATCTTTTCGTTCTTGCTTCTCGTTAAGATATAATAAGGCTTAAATTTGAAAATTTCATTAACCAAAAAAAATTAGTAATCTTCTATTCTTCTTGAACTATTTGAAAAGGACAACCTCCACATCCAAAGATTAGCAAGCAAATTAAGCAAAAAGGTGAACGTCGAAAAAAAAAATTAAGCAGCAAGAACAATTCAATCCAAGAAGAATTCAAAGCATAAAGAGGAGAGACAATAGAATCTAATTCAAAATTAATTACCTGAAAAGAAATATGATTATCCTTAGGATTAATCTCAGTTTTCCTGGGCATGTTCTCTGGATCCTCAGATTGCAAAAGATGTATTCCAATTCCATACCCAAATAACCTACAACACATCATATGCAGCACATTCATCATAACCTCATAAAAATATTAATTTCTTGAAAGAAAATTCCCAAGAAACCAATCTTATTCAAAGTGGGAATTAATTAATTTTCTATTTTTTATTTTTTAGGAAAAGTACCATGCCCCATCAAAATCAAAGGAGCCAGGCCTCCTAATTGGTACAAAGCCGAGGACATTCTGGTAAAAGTTTATTGATTCCTCAACTGATCGGCAGATGAGGGAGATGTGGTTCAAAGATTTCAGATGTAGAGGGTTTGCCATGCTTTCCTTCATGATCGATGCTGCTGATCAACGTGGCTTCAAACTACGAAATCAGAAAATGAATCAAAAAGCGAAAGAACTGAACAGGATGCAAAGTTAGAAGTGGAGAGATGGAGGGAGCACAGGAATTTGGAAAATATATGAGGAGGAAGTTGCCGAGGCTGCCACGGCAAAAACACTGGACGATGTTTATAGGAAGAAATGGGAAGCTCTTTATATAGAGGGCTGATAGAGCTTCATGGCTGCCATGTGGCCCTCTCATGCAACGTGTCGGATAGTTATGACTCTGACACGTAGATTCGACGTTGCTGATGACTAGGAGAGGGAGCACCAGCGATGATCAATTTTTTTTTTTTTTTAATTATACATTTTGAAAACAATGTTCATGTGTAAGTTGTCTATAACTTATATGATTAGGAGTGTTTGTGTTTATATTTAAAATTCTATGTTCGAATCTCTCTCTTTACAACTTAATATAAATTTATCTTTTCGTTTCTCAAAATAATGTTATGCCGTTATTTAGCTCCAAAATATATCAACCATTTTGTTTGACATTTATAAAAGTGCCCTTTTTATTCAAGATAGTTATATATATATATATATATATATATATATATATATATATTAAAGTACGACAATATATTAGTTCTAGAAACTAATAATTTAAATCAAAACAACCTCTAGGACTCACTGATTGTAAGTAAGTTTACAAGTGTCATTAAATAAATAAAAATTGACACACCCCGACCCAGAAAGTTCACTTGGACTCTGAATGGAGCTGTGCTGGCTGACACCTGGAAGGTGACGAAGCCATAAAATGTGATAGAGTGTAGAAAAATGTGAATAATTTGAACCTAAATTTTTTTTTTAATACCAGAGTGCATTGTGAGCGTGAGTGAACCCATTTCACGCACGATGTCAAAGCATAAGTAAGGTACAGGAGTGTGGGTAAGAATCATACCCTCAGAAATATCCATCAATACTAAGATTCGCCACAAATCCTTGTCGATACAAACTCAGCAGCTAAAACCTAGAGGGCACCAAACAGAGAGTGTAAGTAAGCAATAAAACCAAGCTTCCCAAAGTTATTACCTCTCTAAAAGTAATGCCCCTAAATGTAAAACTCATATCGTTTTCCATAAGACAATACAACATATATACATATATCCAAACCATACCCAGAAATGGCCAGAATCACGGTTTGCCATCAGCTCCACCATGCAATAATAAGTATGCCAAATGAACTTAATCAATACAAAATGATATATCAGTCGGAGTCATCTAATATGACATGTACAACTTATCCATATCTCATCAATCATGGCTAGCATATAAGTCGGAGTCACCTATAGTGACCTGTACGACTTATCCATATCTCATCAATCATGGCTAGCATATAAGTCGGAGTCAACTATAGTGACCTGTACGACTTATTCATATCTCATCAATCATGGCTAGCATATAAGTCGGAGTCACCTATAGTGACCTCTACGACTTATCCATATCTCATCAATCCTGGCTAGCATATAAGTCGGAGTCAACTATAGTGTACGACTTATCCATATCTCATCAATCATGGCTAGCATATAAGTCGGAGTCACCTATAGTGACCTGTACGGCTTATCCATATCTCATCAATCATGGCTAGCCAATAGCTTAATAAGTATACTTGCACACGAGTCGGAACCACCTAAAGTGGTTTGTACGACAAGACTGGGTGTAAATAAATACGCTCAAGTGCTACGATCACGTGAAGACTATGCGAATAATCGCGGGTCACCTACGAGTCGGTACCACCTAAAGTGGTCTGTACGACAGAACTGTGCACCTACCTTGGATCCAAGGTGATCGTAAGGTGCGGAAGGTGAACATCACGTGAAGGACTGTGCCCTGGCAACGGGCTGGAGCACTAACACCGGGATACAGGTTTATGAGCTATATTATATCTCAACACAATCATACTCACTAACATCACTAACATCAACATGTACTCACCTGAGACTTACCTAGGCGTCTGCGGCGTCATATAGCACTTCAAAGCATTCACAATAGTCAGGTCCAGGTAATGTCCATATGAATATGCCATGATGCAATCTAAACCCAAACATTTCATGATATTCCCAAAATATATATAATACGGCGTAACATGTACAATCAATAACACCCTACTCCCAAACTATTTACTTTTGAGAGTAATCATTAATGATAAGCCCAATTAGACCCTAGTTACATTAACTATCATACTTACCTTTCCTTACTTCAATTTACCTTTCCTTACTTCAATTTCTTGATTCTTCACGCATTGATTTATGATCAACATTTAATCACCAAATCATGAAGCTAAATCTCACAATTCCCACCAATGTCCCTCACATTGCTCAATTCACTAAACAAGGCTATTGTCTCAATTATTTAATCTCATTTATTATATGGCTGCATCTAACGTCTTGTTAGACTGCCTACGTATCCTAAACAGGGATCAAACTATTCGTAGTTCGAAATGATTAATTGTAGGTAACAATCATAGATCACTATAGAAGTGCTTGTGGAACTATCAATTATATGCCTATGAAAAAAAAAAGGCCCACTCACCTGGAGTCCACGCTATGATTATCTTGCACGCATATCGAGACATCACGATTTATCGTCGCCTGCGACCAATTATCAACTCACGTCTCAAAGTTTTTACCGATAGAATACATAATTTACATAAAACATATCCTCAAGGACCTTCAAGAATAATTTGAGACCCATTGACCAAAAGTCAACTGTCGATCAAAGATCGACGGTAGGGTCTACAACCCTGTATAGCTCGATTTGGAAGATCCACATATCAGATTTCCAATCTGCAACTCCCAACAATCCACAATATGTTTCTAGAATAACATATTAAAATTTCATTACGATCCAACGGTTGGATCTCCGCCATTTACCCAAAACCAAGTGGACGTGAACATTTATTTTACTAACTTACAAATTCAATTCAGGAAGATCCGTACATCGGATTCCCGATCCATAAATTCCTATGATCTTTAAATATTACATATTATAATGTGTCCAAGTTTGGTGACGATCCAACGGTCGGATCGTCGATTCACATTTTCATTAAGCAACGTATCGTAACGAATTTAGGTTCCACCGATCAACCTATGTCATTCAAATAACAAAACTGAATTCAAGAAATTTGACATAGCCTAAAAATAGCATTGGCGGTCCACTGGCCACGCGCCGACTCGCCGGAAAATCCAACTATTTCCAAAAATTCTCAAACTTCACAGATGTGAAGATCTCAGTGAGTGGAGCAACTTTCATACCTGCCATGAAGTCCAAAAGTGGATGGAAGATGGTCAATTTTTCCCACAAAGCCGCAGGGTGCCTAAAACTTCTCGACATCGATTTGTCGTCTACGGTGGTCCAACGGGGTCAAGGTTGGTTGGGTTTTGCTCCTGGGATGATGGGCTACAAAGCCCAAGTGGTGGCATTGGCCATCGCTTTGCCGATTTGCCAAAAAATCGAAAAGGGTGGCCGGAGCACTATTGATTTTTGTCAACTTTCGTGGCCTCAAACTGCCACATCCCATGGTTAATCAAGGTGGTTCTTGCATGGGTTTTGTAGAGGGGAATGAGAGCTTCAAGATGGTGGTGGTGGCATCGAAAAACTCCACCGGAGTTGGCCGAAATCGGCCTTGAAAAATGGGTAGTCGGAGAGGTGTACAGACGGAACCCACGGGAGCTTTTCCTCCCATTTTTTTTTCTTTCTTTCCTTTTTTCTCATTTCTGATTTTGGCTTCACCCCACAAAGTGGGGATTTAATTTAATTAACACTAAACCTTAAATAACCAATTTCGAACGTCCGTAACTATACTGTTATAATCCGAACTAGCAAACGGCTTTCGCCTATACGTTCTTACCAACGAGTACTACAAGGATATGCTAAAAGAATAAGTCTCACATCTCTCAAGTCGATGGTCAACGGAAGTCAAAGTCCTTACCTCTAGAGCAATTTCGTAAATTCACGCTTTTAAAATAAAATAAAAACGTAAAATTTGGAACGAGTTGTCACAAAAATAGTTACAAACATAATCTTCACTTAATAAAAATTCAATTTTAAGCAACCAAATAAAGAAAAAAAAGTTTCAAAACTCTGACTTTAAAGTTTCACTTGAATATATAGCATTATTATATAATAAAATTGAAAAAAAAATCGTTTTTTAAAGTGTTATTGTTGACACTCCTAATATCTCATTGTGCACTCTAAATTTTTACATTTAGAAAGAAATTTTTTTTATAATAAAAGTGCACTATAAGATTTTAAAGTGCTAATAAAAGTTTTTTTTTTTTAATATATAACATTATAACATATAAATATAGGATACCAAAATTTTTTTGGAGCCCTTTAAATTTACGGGCCCTATGCCATTGCACCTTTCGCTTCACCTCAACGCCATCTCTACCGTTATTACACTAGATAAAATGATTTACAACTTCATATAAATTATCTCATCATTTGTCAAAATAGTATTACGTTGTTATTTAGCACCAACATACATCAACCATTTTGTTTGCCGTTATTACACTCGATAAAATGATATACTACGTAAATTGTTGCTTAGTACAATGAGAATTTCAATACAAATATTTGAGGCCGGAGTCCCCGCCACGTAAGCAGCACAACATTTTTATTATTTTTCTGTCTGTTGCTGCAGAATTCACGGGGGTTAACATCACCTATACTATAAAATTGGTTACGAGCTTTTGTGGAGGTCCTACTCTTCGGTGCACAAAGTAGGTGTTTTTCAGGCAAGATAAACATGGTGGAAATTTGAAATAGCTTTCTAGAGTCTTCCTTCGCATGGGTGTCAATTTTTTATCGATGAAAAAAAAAAAAAAGAAAGTGTAAACCAATCAGTTCATAAATAGGTGACAAAAATCGATCTTCCACTGGGGCCTTGTTGTCTTCCGTTGTTATAATTTGGTGGGAGTTCACTTTTAGTATCGTTACGATTTCAATTGTCCCAATTTTAATTTTATGATTAAATAACGATGCAACATGTTATTTTTTGCATTGTTTTTTCGTTAATTAAATGGATGAAAAATGTAATTACATCATTTGTTAAACTACAAAAAATGAAATAGAGAAAATTAAAATTACAAGAACTATTATATCGCTTCTTGTCCTAAAAAAGAACGCATGAA